TAAGGAGCGCTGCGCATTTACACACGATGATTGGCTACAAAACGCAACTGACAGTATGTGAAGACATTGAAAATGCCAAAAAAATCGGGAATTTAATGGATCCAACGCAGGTTTTTGATGAATTTCTGGGAATCCTGAAAATCCGTCTGCAAGAAGAGATTTTTTTGGAGTGGGGGTAAAGTTGCAGTAGCTTCAGTGCAGGACACAGTGTGGTCCATGTTACTTAGCATAATATACATGTTGCTTTAAATATAGCTTGGGTGACAGAAGCGGCACTTACCTACGGTTTCTGGATGGGACGGGAAGAAGGTATCAGCTCCAGAGCGTATTTCTGCCGAGACAGGAAGCAGTGAGGATGTGTCGCGGACCCCAAAGTGTACAACAAATTTGATGTTCTAGCACATCTGTCAGCTTGGAATCTTCAAAAAAAGTCTTAGAAGGACGTATGAGGGCAACTAATTGTCGCGGTTTTCATAGGCAAGAATGGATAGAGCTGAGTCAGAGCGGCTTAATGCCTCGATCTACTGAGTCAGAACTCGAGTGATAGCTGACTTTCAGTTGCAAGCAGAGACTCTAGCGCCAAAATTTATCAATGCCATATTTATCACGATCTAACGGTTCGCTGATTTAGCTATACTGTCTGACGGGTTGACCGCGTGGAGCAGTGAAGCTCCACAGCTTTACGGTGAAAATGCCATTCTCGTTCGTAAAAGACAATCGATGATGATGTCTTATAGGACATAAGTCTATTCTTGCTTCTACAGGCAAAAGCTCACGCCAAGTTCTAAGAGTAATCCCTAGAGGATGTGTGCAAGACATTGCAAGGGGGTGAAATACAGGAATAGGTAGTATCGAAGGAGAAGGCAAGCCAATCTTACCAGCCGGCAATTAAAATCGTCGAGAAGGGCACTCTAAGAGCAATGGTAGCGACGAATTGAATGGTTGATCACAAAATTTATGCGATTCTTATTATATTTGCTGGAGAGATTATACACCATTTTAGCGTGAGCCAACCACGCGTGTTGCTCCCGGATTTTGGGGTGTTGTATGAGATATCCCTTTTACCTGGATCTAATTGCTGCGTCACGCATCCTTTACCAACGAAAAGTAAAGTTGTAGACAACTTTCCATGCGATATATATAACAGATATGTTGGGATGTAAAATCTTCCCCCAGCTGACGTTGAATTTCGGTACCAGATAGGCTAATGGCGATTGGCAATCTGCGTATATTTATATGAGCTCAATACTGCCATCAGTTTGACGCAAATGCCGTTTACTAGGCGAGGGTGTTGCGGGCGGAAAGATCGATGGCACATTGTTTGATATGTATTCTGTTATCGATCGATACTATGATCTGCTCGTGAGAGACAATGAGATCCCTTTTTCCGCAGCGATTATTCGAGCGAATGGCTGAAATGCCCGGGATACTTTTTAAAGTCTTAGCACCGTTTAACTGGCTTAAAACGCACTTGTTCAGATCGCATTGGACTATGCAGTGACTCATTCTATGATAAATTCTTATTGTCATGTGTGTGGCACATGAGGGTTTGGATGTGGACGCCCGAATCAGACTTGTGCGAGCAGGACTCGAATGTTAACGCTTGGATATGCACTCTATCAACACAGACAAGTATGACTTCGAAGCCGACGAGATCCCTTTACAAAGTGCTATACTTGAAAATATAATTGTTCTCAGGCATCCCACGAAGGCCAAAGCTTTTGTGATTTGGCCAATGCTGTCGGCTTGAAAACGTGAGTTGGCCCGCCCAAACGTTTGGACAAAAGCACCCCAAATTACGCTAATGTGACACAGCCCCACATTGTGAATCCAGTTCTGAATAGAGAAAGGCTGTTGATACAATTCGACTTGCTTATTCCAGCTCGGCTAGACTTTGTAGCAAAATCAAACTTCATCTCAATAATTTTAAGCGCCATCCAGCTAGTGCGTGACAATATGGCTGAGGCCAGGATGTGAATGCAATGAAGTTACCACGGCCAGACAATACACAAACAAATTTGCAGCGGGTGTAGCGTTCTTAAAACGCTGTTGATTAACCGACCCAGGCAGCCTGTAAGTCTAAATCGTATTTTCTTTACACAATACTTTCACATTCATAGTATGAAAGAGATGAATGACATATAATCCACAGTCATACCAGATCTCTCTCTCTTATCACCATTACTTATCTTATCCCAAACCAGTTGGTACAGATACACGGGCATCCAAAAATTCGACTCAAGCCAGTTTATATCACACGTCAAGATTCTCGGGGGCTGCGAGGTGTCTAAAGCTGGCGAGATCCAGTCACAAAAGGGTCGTGCTTTGCCGACTCTGCTCAATGAGCAAGGGTCGTTTATTTATTATGGATCAGATATTGGGCCGACGGGCTCGCCAAGAATGTAAGTAGTATCTAGTACAGTGGAAACGATACACTTAATCAGATATTTTTCTTTAAATTGCGGCTGCGTTTTGGTGACTTTGCTCTGGTTTCGTTTTCGCTTGCGGCATAGCGCACTCTTTGTCTCAATATCCTTGGAATAAGAAGCTGGACTGCTCAGCGCACCTACTTTGAACTAGCAAGCGAGAATCGACTATGTTCCATGTTTGACTCTTGGTTGGTAGCCATTCCAGCAGGATCATGAAGATGAAAAGGGATGCTTAAAAATTTATAAAGGTGAGTACGTCAATTTTGTGCTTTGTACTTTGCAAGCGTAAATACCAAACGATTTTCTAGCTTTACAATCAAAGTCTGTTTATCAAGACTGGCCTGTAAAGCTGTAAGACGATTGGTACGACATGCCGTTTTGCTTGTGCACAAATTGAGTACGTCACTCTTCGGTATGTTTATCGCCTACGGGGAAATGTACGGGTCTACACAGACGCAGCTTATCCAGGTACAGGTAGATTTTGTGCGGAGTGATAGCTTATAGGTTAAAAAATATATCCCAGCACTTCAAGCTGATCATTTGCTCTCTATGAGTAGATGGCCTGCATGGACAGGCTTTAAATTAGTATCACAGCGCGACAAGTAGGTTCCGATGAATTTATGCCAATTACGAGATAACTTAGACAGCAAAAGTCGTTGGGACTATGCAGATCGTTCTCATCTGTACATTTACTAACCACGCAACTTCATCATGATCATGTGGTACTATTGAGCCTTGCTCTTAGTTCGAGGATCAATAGCAACAATAGTGTTCTTGGTTTACTTACTATGTTATGAAAGGGACTTTGTGACCCCACCTTACCCCAAAAAACTGTAAATTACACTTTGATGAGATCACTTGATGGCGAGGTTTGTCAGACGCTTTCATTGTCAGTCCACCCAATGCAGTGCAAGAAGGTTTGATAAAAAGTGATACACATACATCTAGTATCGTATGATATGGTGCATCATGAATGTACGTCACTTAAATATCAAGAGCAATAAAGTACTCAAAAAGTTGAGAGATTTTGGTCTGCTTCTGGATGGAGCGTCCGGACTCATTATTTGTGCGCTTATTACCTCATAGACATGAAATATTTTTGTGTGATGTGTACGGCAACCCTGTTGCACCATGGCTGCTTGTGGGCAAACCACTGAATTGGTATAATTTCGTGACAAATTGCAGAAAGCTGCCCTGAAGTTGGTGCACAATTGGTGCCGCATCTTGTATTGTCGTGGCTTTTAGCTGGAAGAGTCAGGCGCAGGCCGGGCATCAAGTTGGCCTTTTTTCAACAAAGCGGCTCCGAGCCAGTTATGCACATTTCCAGCGTGATCATTCTACTTGCGCTGTCTACGCTGGTTGGGCGGGTGTTGGCAAATTTGATTTCTGTACCAAAATTATCGCAACTTGCACCTTGCCAGCACATCACGCCATATTTAGCGTCTAAACGACAATGCATCGCTCAGCTCGCACCGATTTGAATTATTATGAGAAGTGCAAGTGCAACGTTTATTTGTTTGTCCATGAACACTGTTTTGTAGCGTGTTTGTCCAACATTGGCTTCTATAAGCTACCCCATAAGCTTAGGCTGCCCAATTGAAACATATCTAAGTTTCAATCACTTAAACTGATCATTTATATATGTTTCAATACTAATGTTTGGTTTGGTTGGGAAGCCGATTTACCCATCATATTCAAAGCATAAGTCGTTTGTTATCTGCATCTGATTGCTAATGCTACCATTCGCTACATGGCAAATTGCTAAATAAATTGTAAGAGGCAACGAGGTATTCGTGTACATTACACAGATAAAACTTCACTTAAAGTTCGCTTCAGTGAAACCGCACAGAGGTTAAAATATTTCGGTCCATGGAACTAGAGCAAATATAACGGGGTTTCACTTACCCCGGTATGTATGGTGTGGGTCACACAAGAAGGTGTGATTACACAACAATGTGGTTTACACAAGATGGTGTGACCACGCATTGGTGTGGCTGCACTTAAACAGGAAGTCAGTTCGTGGCTGGACTGCCAGTAGTTCTATATTTAATTAGGTGTTACTATATAGATAGGAAAACGTATAGATTTAGATATAGGCTGCTTTGCCGCAAATAAAACCGAGAAATACGGTTTACATTTTAAACGGAAGAATTAATTAGCCTTGGTCAAGGTTGTAATCATTCTTGGAGTAAGTGGATCGCGATCCATTACACTCGAACTGGTTATAAGTATAGAACGAAGGTCACCGACCTGAACTAAATCTTTCTCCAAGTGGAAGAGCTACTGCAGCCCCGCTGCAGCAAATCCGATAGCCTCTGCAATATTAAGCTGATTAGTGTGCCTCATGTTTTTCGGAAGTAACACATGTGTGAAAAAAATTATGGCATACACATTTATAATAAAGCTGTCCTTATTACTTGGCGTGTGGACTGTACTGGTACAGTTGGTACAAACTGGTACCCGCTACCCACAAATGTTTTAAAGAAATGCACTTTGACTACTAATTTGTACATTTATGTACGACACTTCATACTGAAGATACTATGTGTATGCTTCTGGATAAAGGCACTAATGGGTGAACCAAATACTGACGGAGGCTACAGGGAACCCTCGCGCTCTATATTTGCGCAGCAGGATCTGCACCACTTTCTGGGATCTCCTGTAAGCACCGCAATTCCTTCTTCTATTGTCTGCACTATCGAGTGGCCTACTGATTCTCCAAACTTATCCAGGCCCAGCAGATGATTTTGGTTTTTGTAAAGCACTTGAACGAAAGCGTTAAGGGCAAGAAGATCTCCAGTGAGTACGAAGTGTCACCGGTGCGATGTATTTAGCCAATGTATATGATAAACGAGGCACCTTAATCGATGTATTTGTGGAGGCGCTCACAGAACGTTAAGAAGGCTGTCGATTTGATCAAGGAAATTGATTCATGGATTGACGAAATTCCGCCCATTCAGCAGCCTATGCGCTTTGGGAATAAAGCCTTTCGAACATTTTACGACCGAGTCATAGAAGTACGAGACAGTGCTAAACGGGATTTCGTAACATTGCTACAGCTTTAATATTTGTATTTTACACAGAGAACGTATGAGATGCAAAAGATTATGCTACCTGAAAATTTGCGTGGTGCTGTCGTTGAATTGGCGGCTTATCTCGGTGAATCATTTGGCAACCAAATTCGAATCGACTACGGCACAGGCCACGAAACCAGCTTTATCGTATGGATGTGTACGTGCTTCTTGAATACTGTTTTTTTGCATTCAGGCGATATTGATTCTATGAAACAGGCTGTTTGCACAAGTTGGGCTTTTTTACTGTGTCGGACTTTCCAGCACTAGTGCTAAGGTTGTTCACGTCGTACTTGACACTGATGCGCCGCCTTCAGAAGTTGTATATGCTGGAACCGGCAGGCTCCCACGGCGTGTGGGGTCTGGATGACTATCACTGTCTTCCTTTTTACTTTGGATCCGCTCAGCTGATTGGACAACACGATATTGTTCCAGAAAGCGTGCACGACGATGACATTTTACTCGCAAACCACGACGAGTATTTATATCTGGATGCCATTAAGTTTATAAAGGAAGTCAAAGCAGGGTCGCCTTTTGCAGAAACGTCGCCTATGCTGAATGATATCACTGCTTTGCCATCGTGGGAGAAGACTAATGGAGGCATGCTCAAGCTGTACGAGGGTGAAGTACTGAAGAAACTGCCTGTGATTCAGCACTTGCGCTTTGGTTCATTGTTTCCGTGCACATGGACTCCATCCCACGATGCCAGTGATGGCTCATATGTTCCAGGAAGTATGCTTTCAGGGATGAGCGTTCGTGCCTCAAACTTAAATCGGGACGGTGTGTCGACCAAAGCGCCGTGGGTTACGGCTGAAACGCATGCGGCTACCAAGGACACTGGCAATGTCACCTTCGCACCAGTGAGTGATACGTCCAATCATTAATGTCATACCTTGGTGAAGCAGAGTACAGAGAGTGCTTTTGACGTGCCTGCTAATAAAAGGAGTTGTGAATTTACAATTGCTTTTTTATTTCGGAATGCTCTTTTTTGTTGGATGATTAACACCTGCTTCAGTGTAGTGTTTCGCTGTGGTTTCCAGCGTTTCGCTCAAGCGATAGTACACACAGTTGTAATATGTTGTTTGATGGGCTTCAATTCAGCATCATATCCTGTTTTGTTTTCTAACTTGTCCCGTTGTTTCATTTCCTCACATGACTCGCTAATTTATGTGTCATAGTGAGTGGAAAAGGGCTGTCTAAACTATGAAAAACGAATGTACTGTGAAACAGACAACGCAGAACAAGAAACGGCTTGAAGGTGTACATCAAAATTCTCGACAAGTTGTCGAGGCTTTACACGCCGCACAAACGCGACACGTTAATCAGAGAGACCAGAGAATAAACGGGTGGGTAACTCAGCCAGAGGACTGCGCTTGATATGTTGATTGGCAGAGATCAGTTGGCATTGCTAAAACCTTTGTGTTAAATGACAATATCCTCATTTCGATCATGGACGTGATGGACAAAGTTATAAAAATCATCTATCCTTTTGCTAAATGCGATATAGGCTATCTTGCAAATCGCAGCTAAGTTGTATGCCCTTCGCAGGATTCATTTGAGCTCATACATCGGGTTCATTTTCCAGGACCAAACTGTTTCACCAAAGAGCTGTTTTTGATAACTATTCGGCCAAATGTTCGCGATGTTGCTATGACACCTTCCAGCCACAGTGATTGAGTGCAACGTCTTATGTTCAGGAAAATATCTGATATGAATTTGCGTCATGCGAACTCAACTAGTGGCAGGCATCTACAAGGAAGTGCTTGGGGAGCGCACTTCATGACAATTCCATGAACTTAAGGTTTGCCACGTGCCACTCAAATCCTGAAGAGTCAGGAAGGATATGCAAATGCCACGTTGTATGAAAGCTCGTTCACTGGAGTCAGAATAAGAATAATGAGTATTAACATTCTTCGACAAAGCCTTAATACCTTCGGAAAGACGACTATAAATTTGTGCACCTGTACCCACAATATTAAGTTTTATAGGGCATTGGGTACTTTTGTCGTCTCGTCGTCTGGTGACGAAGGCTAAAATCTAAAATCTATCTTCCAAAGCACTCTGTAAATTGCGGGGATTGTTAGTTGCGTAATATGGGTGCTTAGTTGCGTTGTTGTGCTCACCTTCGTTGACAGGCAGAACATGATCCACTAGTCTACGTCTGTATTTTTACTGTACTGTATCCCTAAATATCAACAGCGGTTTCAGCGGCAAAAACCATTTGTCTGATCTTCGTCAGTAATAGCATCGCTAATATATTGAAAAGGACAGGCCGCGCTGGCGCCAGAACGACGTACCTATTTTCTCAAGTGCAGACTTTACTAAGCTGGTCAAATCTATTTTAATATACAGACAGAAGCCAAAAAAATACATCGAGTTACCGTACTTGCATTGTATACAAAGATAGGTAGTTGTATTCTGGGGTTAGGCTGATTAAAGATGTCTCTGCAAACGCGCCGTTTCCCAGCTTCGAAGCCTGAGCGCTGACTGGCCAGCAGCAAGTCATGAAGATTCTATCCCTTGACTGGCGGAGACGCCACATGGGGGACCATTGCGACAGCCCCCACTTTATTTCATTTCGAAATTCACTTTGCTGTGCCGAGCGCCTTTTGTACCTCACATCAACTGCCCCAAAGAAAACAGTTTACTCGGTACCATGGCCCCTTACGCTCCTACTGACGGCATCAGCAAGCTCGCCATCGACCAGAGCAAGCATTTTACTGAAGCGCTTCAGGAAGCCCTTAAGAGTACTACGGATCAGCAAAAGATTGCTGCGGAAAAGGTGTCGGAGCTAGTCATTGGCGATGTCAATGTGAACCTTGGTGTCGTTTCGCAGGGTCTGCGCAACGCTTTGCTGGCTGAAGATGCCGACGCCAAAATTGTCGCCTCATACGTCGTCGACGACCTCATGCAGAAGTGCGCGGAGCGTGTCGAGGCGTACATTCTTCCTCTGTTATCCGTATTTTTGGATCTACTTGCCGATAAGAAGCCATCTGTGCGCCCTGTTGCTGAAGAGGCTGCTTTGACTATCATCAGCTCGACGAACAAGAACTCGACGATCCGAATTCTTCCGATTTTGTTCGCCGGACTTGACCGCTCAAAAAAGTGGCAAACTAAGAAAGGATCGCTTGACCTTGTCGCCGAGCTGTCAAAGATCGCTCCCTACCAGGTGGGACGTTGTCTCCCCGACATAATTCCTGTCGTGACGGACTGCATGTGGGATACGCGCAAGGAAGTTAAAGTTGCTGCTCGCGAGACGATGACCAAAGTATGTAACGTTGTAGGCAACATGGATATTGAGCCATTTATTCCTGCATTAGTGAGCTGTTTGGCCAACCCAACTGAAGTACCTGAGTGTACACACAAGCTTGCTTCGACCACCTTTGTTAAGACCGTGGAAGCCCCGGCTCTTGCAATTATGGAGCCATTACTGAAACGTGCTTTAGCTGAGGGAAAGACAGCTGTCAAACGTCAGGCTGCAGTCATCATTGATAATATGTGTAAGCTGATGGACGATCCGGCTGAAGCTCAGCTTTTTATTCCGAAGCTTTTGCCTGGTCTTAAGAAAGTAATTGAGACCCAGGCCGATCCTGAGTGTCGTGAAGTTGCTACTCGTGCTCACGAGACGCTATTTGTTGCTGGTGGATCCATGGAAGTGTCCGAAGATGAGTTAAAGGTTGATTATGCCAATATTCATAAGGTTGTGGTCGAATCCATTGCTGCTAATCCCGCTGCTGTCAAGGCCGAGATCGACAGCTTCACAATTGATTATGTCACGGGTGTTTGCTACTTCCTGGTTGTGGCACGTAACTTCAACAAAGCTGTCTTTGAAAAGGAAATCGCTACTTACTTTAAAGCGTTTATGAAGCCTGCTGACATCAAGCCGCTCGCTAATGAGATCCGCGATCGGTGTTTTAAAGAAAACAAATCAATTTTCATAGAGGACGTCGACTGCGATGAGGGAATTCCTGATCTTTGCAATTGCGAGTTTTCACTTGCTTACGGTGGTATGATTCTACTCAATAATGCTCGTCTTCGTCTTAAGCGTGGTCATCGCTATGGTCTGTGCGGTCCTAACGGTTGTGGTAAATCTACACTGATGCGCGCCATCTCTAACGGCCAGTTGGAGGGCTTTCCTAGCCGAGATGAGCTGAAGACTGTATTTGTTGAGCATAATCTTCAAGCGTCTGAGGCCGAATTGTCTGTTGTTGATTTCATTCTTGCGGACGAGGACTTAAAGAACACCCCCCGTAAGGAAGTTGAAGACACTCTTGCTGGTGTTGGGTTTACCCCAGAGATGCAGGCCCAGGGTGTGGGCACACTTTCTGGTGGTTGGAAGATGAAACTAGAGCTGGCACGTGCCATGCTTCAAAAGGCTGATATTTTGCTTCTGGATGAACCGACGAACCACTTGGATGTCAAGAACGTGGCCTGGCTGGAACAGTATCTAACGAATCTGCACAACGTGACTTCTATCATGGTTTCCCATGACTCTGGATTTTTGGACACTGTCTGCACTAACATCATTCACTATGAGACCCGTAAGTTGAAGATCTACAAGGGAAATCTCTCTAAATTTGTCGAACAGAAGCCCGAGGCCAAGGCATATTACGAGCTTGAGTCCGACAACGTCAAATTTGTCTTCCCGGAACCCGGTTTTCTTGCTGATATCAAGAACAAGGGTAAGCCGATTATCCGTTTGACGAACTGCTCATACCAGTACCCAGGTACACCCAAACCGTCGATTAACAACATTTCAGTCACATGTGCTTTGTCGAGCCGTATTGCCGTGCTTGGTCCTAACGGTGCTGGTAAGTCGACGCTTATCAAAATGTTGACAGGTGAAGTTGAGCCAACGAGCGGGCAAGTGTGGAAACATCCTTCGATGCGGTTTGCCTATGTGGCTCAACACGCTTTCCACCACATCGAGTCGCACCTTGATGAGACCGCGAATCAGTACATTCAGTGGCGTTTCCAGTCTGGTGAAGACAAGGAGCTTTTAGCTAAAGAGACGCGTAAGCTGAGCAAGGAAGAGAAGGAGCATTACAAGAAGCCAGTGAATTGGGAAGGTGAAAAGCGCGTTTTAGAAGAGATTGTGTCTCGCCGCAAATTTAAAAAGAGTTTTGAATACGAGCTAAAGTGGGAAAAGCTTCCAGCTGACCAGAATGCGTGGGTTCCCCGCGAGAAGTGTGAGAAGTGGGGATGGGACAAACTGCTTCAGATTGCCGATGACCGCGAAGCTGCCCGCGCTAACTTGCAAGCGCGACCTCCGACAGCCATCGCTGTCCAGAAGCACCTGGACTGCTTCGGCCTTGGTGCTGAGTTTGGTACGCACTCGCGAATGCGGGGTTTGTCTGGTGGTCAAAAGGTGAAGGTTGTACTTGCCGCCGCCATGTGGCTGAACCCACACATCCTGGTGCTTGATGAGCCAACGAACTATCTGGACCGTGACTCACTTGGTGCGCTTGCTTCGGCTATTAAGGAGTTCAACGGTGGTGTTGTCATGATTACTCACCACAACGAATTTTCTTCGGCATTGACCCAAGAAACGTGGAACGTTGAAGCTGGATACTTGAAAATTGAGGGCCAGCAGGTTGAGGACAAGACAAAGATAGAACAAAAGGATGAGGAAGAAGTGATTGACGCATTCGGTAATGTTACAAAGACCAAGATCAAGCGTAAATTGACCCGCAAGGAGAAGAAAGCTAAAGATAAAGCTCGCAAGGAGGCTGAAGCTCGTGGCGAATACTTTAGTGACTCGGACGAGGAATAAGTGGCTTTTAAATCTTGCCTCTTACTTATTTGCCTAGACGATTCCTAAATGTAGAACGAACTGACTGTATGCCAATTCCGAATGCAAAAAAAAAAATTGATAGCTGTCAAACTCGTTTTGAAAATTCTCAGTAAATTAAAATTTTTGATTGTATACATAATTAATGCACTTTCAATTTAATCAAAAGGAAAATAATCTCAACTAATTTATGGTATTTTACGAAAGAATGCATTTATGCTATTTTCTTGTCTTTTTCAGAACATCATTCCTCAAATGCTTCCCCTCCCTAATCACACAGGCATCCATGTGAGAGTTCACCTCCATGTTATTACAAACGTTCAGAAATTTGCCACAAATTGGACAAGGCCTCATATTTTGTTCGGCGCTATGTGAAAGAGTGTGTGTAGGGGTGAATGCTGATGGAGTGGCAATGATGTTTGTCTTTTTCTTAATAGCTGCATTCGATGCCAATGATGATGACTTCTTCAAACCAATGCATGCATCAATATGAGCATTCACCTCCGCATTGTTCAGCGTGTTCAGCGGCTTCTTACATATCGGACACGGCTTGATGTCGACTCCAGACAACTTTTTTGCATACAAACTATCAGAAACAGTTTTCTTCAGCTTTTTGCGCATTAGATGCGAATTACTTGACATTTCCAACACGTCACGCTTTTCCTGAATGGTGTCGTATTCAAAATGTGCTGGAGGCCGATCTCTGTGCATTGTCATATCTCTCTTGTTGCACAGCGCAAGGCATCCTGACTTTCTCTGTAATACACCACAAAGTTCAGCAGTAACGGGGTCTGATAAGCGCTTGGCAAACTTGTTGATCGTAACTTGCCGCTTGTTGCTCGGTAAAATTTGAACGGCTGACGGGGAAGCAGATTTAGAGCGAGATACTAACACTGCTGCACGCACACCCATTAGACGTAGTGTGAGCGGCAACTCACGGCGTAATAGCTCAACAGCATTCGAAAACAAGTCGTCTGCACTAAAAACTGCAGATGCTAGCGACACCGACCTTGAACAGCGAGCAAATTTGGTGTCCTTGTACACAAACGTCACGGTTCTAGCACCCATGTTCACCTTTTCCAGATCGTTCGCCAGCATTTGACATATTTCTAGACACTTGGCTTCAAGTTGTGTAGGATCGCTCAGGCTTTTGAATGTTCGTTCTCGACTGAAGCTTTTGCGCTCTTGTTTCCCAAGACGTTCTTGTATCCCTAACGATATTTGCAGCAACCAAAGAGAAGTTTTTACCGAAAAAAGATACAGAAGTTTCGCCCGCTGAGAGAATAAATCTGCGCCTGTGTGAATATCCAAGGCCTCGTTGAGAATTTTTTCCATAACTTTGCCAATGCCACCGATTTTGCGCACAGAAAGCTCACGCACGAAACCCATGACGTCTCTATGAGTGAACGGTAGTACGTACTGTCCGTTGGGTTTGTTCAAATCAGAGCAAATCTAGCGAAAAGAACGTGCCAGTAATCAATGACAGCTACATTTAAAAAAAAACGATCGTAAGATTTTGTACCTTCGCTAGCATAGCATTCGCTGCAATTCCAGCACTAGCAGTCAACTGTGTAAGGTCGAAGATTTTCTGACGTAGCTCTTGGACAACCGCCGCGGCAATCGCTGCTCGACCTTCGACCGTCGAAGCCCACTCCCCGTCCTTGCCTTCCTTATCCCCAAGTGCGACTGACACATATTTTTCCCAATTTGTTGCTATATAATTTGTAATATCAAGGCATGCTTCATCTAAACTATGAGCTTCAAAGTCTGGATCGTAAGCTGCAAACACAGTACGAATCTGAGCAGCCACACCTGCGTACTTTGCCATGTTAACCGGCACAAACTGAAGCTTTGGACACAATTCCTTGCCAATGAAGCCAGGCATGGCAGCACGTACACCAAACTGCCTAGCTGCATAGTTAGCTGTGCTGATCATACCAAGGCCACCAACTGCGAGTGGCACGTTGCGTAGTGTGGGATCGTCTCGCATTTCGACAGCAGCGTAAAACATGTCCATGTCTACAACAACAATTGTACGCGAGAGATCCCGCATCGTTTCCAATCGTGCCACTTGAGCATCAGCCTCATTTTGTAAGCGCAATAAGTGTCCATCTGACAGGCAAGAAAGTTTCTCACGCATTGCTGCAACGCGTTGTTCCACTTTGGCGCTATCGCGTACCGATTTTTGGTAAAATTTTGAGTCTTTCGACATCTTGTGCACCACCTCTTGCACGTGCTGCTTATCTACGCTCTTCATACCAGCCTTCTCAGCTGTGAACACATACATGGCTGTGGCCTCTGTATGATGCCTATTAAATTTTGTCGTTTTAGTACTTGGTTCCAACATGCCCATTAATATCAAATGGCTCTACAGAGCAAAACAATTTCTAAACTGCTGGCGCCAATGGCAGAATTTCGCTGGCAAAACGGCGGCAAAGTAGAAACTTAGAATTTGCTTCAATACAACATATGAATTAAAATTAAAATCACAAATAATCTATTGCTGAGACGCTGTAAGAGACCTTTTACGCTGTGTGTCACATTTTTAAATTCCTGCAAGGTCTAATGCTTCGAGCGACCGAGCGAGCGGTAAATCCTGCAAAGCATCCTCTATGATGTTTTCGGCCTCTTCACTACCCTCAACAGCGTCTCCGATGCGATTACGACTAGCTTTTTCAAATTGCCGCAGGATTGCTTCAGTCTTTTCAACTTCTGTTTCCCACTTAAGGTTAGGTACACCGTTGTTCGGATTACCTGCAGCATCCAAAATACTAGCAGTAGAAAGATCCAGATCGGGTTGATGTACAATCATTGTTGGATGCTTTGTAAGACGCATTCCATTCCATAGCCAAAGCGGGGCATCCGCAGTCACCACAACCTCTTCCGAAAAAGTTGTCAGGTATTCGGATTCGTTTTTTTCAATCGCGTGGTCCCGCGTAAATCTATCCCACACCCCAGCAAGAATCACAAAATCAAAACATACATCACGAACCATTCGTGTAGTTCATTCTAATGCACCTGCAAAATTCCGACACTGTGGCGAGCTTGGTCCAGTGCTGAAGCTTGCGAAGAATCATGACAACGATACCTGTGACATTAGCTCCATCCAGGCAGTGAATATATAGTGGTAGATTCTTTTTTTGAATGAGAATTTCTATAATTTGTGCCACTGTAGCTGGCGATACTGTCACATTGTCAGACGTAAATTTTTCAGCGTAAAAATGAAGCAGCGTGATCCTTTCGCTCGTGCAAAATGCCACCAAGTCACTTGTGGGTGGCTCTGGAATCACTGAGACCATAGTTTTAAGCCCAAGGCGGCGTAAAAAGCGAAAGTTTTTTAGTGTTGGATACGCTCCACGGTACAGTCCATGCTGCATTGTACTGAATCGGAACGGAGGTATCAGCGCTGGCGTTGTTGCGTCCATCTTAAAAGTAATGATCGAGTGGTACATTGTACCGATAGATGCGAAATATAACAATTTTTATTTGACTTCTGGAACAACATACGACTTGTGTGCAACCATGTTCGTGATGATCAACGCGACGGACAACCCGTGGATGGTGGCGCTGCTTCTTTTTGTACAAGTTGTAATGCCTTTGCTACAGAGTAATGCTGCCGATAATGAGGGTGCGTCACTTGCGCTTAACGTGGCGATTTTGTTTTTGCTGGGACTTTCCCTTATGACATTCTGGAAGGCCGCTTGCTTTTGTCATGTGTTACACCGGCTTCGCGGACGGGTATGTACTAATCTCTTTTTGTGTCAGAATTTCTTCATTATGATCTAAGCTATGTAATGATAGCACCCTGAGATGGGCTGGATGGCCTTCTTTCGTGAGGCCTACGCGCAGGTATCGGCAGTAGCACAGCGCGAAACCAACAACCAGAACCGTGCAGCACAGGAAGAAATGCGCTCCGAGACGTTTAATCGTACTTTAAGCACTATTCAAAAGATGCCGATGGAAGAGTTTAAAACACCCGAACAGTTAGTGAAGATCAGCATCGCGGAACTTAAGCAGCGGTTAGAGCGGCGCGATGTAGACTTTGGCGGATGTGTTGAACGCCAAGATCTTGTTGACCTCTTAGTGAAGTATAGAGGAGGCCCATCCAACAACGATACGTGCTGTATTTGCTGTGAAGCGTACGAAACAGGCGACGTTCTGCGTTTACTGTGCAAGTGCAAACATGAGTTTCATCTTGAATGTCTGGACAAGTGGGCTTATACTTCGGTCAACTCACAGCGCACGCCATCTTGTCCCCTCTGTAACCAAAGCTTGGAGTAAATATTTAACATTTCTAGCCTCTTCATGACGCATGATGACGATATCGTCACGGGATTGGCTCGTGAACATACTGGAGGACAATTGTTTTTTCGAATTATGTTTAATAGAATTGCTGCTGTTAATAGCCATTCAATTCTGATTTCCATGATCAAAGTTGTCGTGTGGGGCATTCGACAACTTTATTATCGAAGAATGCACACGAGCTTATTACTAATCTAATTTCAGATTCAATCACGAACACTCTGTACATTCAAAGCTTCGCATGTGTCTACCTTATCTAAATGATTTCTGCGACTATTTGCTATGATGTGCCTTGTAGCAAAATTCAGGAAAGCGATTTTGTCATCATGTCTTGCTTCAAGTTGTCAAGCCTGTCATTATCTTTCTCCCTCATTACTATGACCCTGCTTCGGCAGTACTCCACTACCAAAAAAAAGAAAAAGTAGTGCATAAAATTATAGCGCATGTATAACGTTGAAGATAGAAATATTTGGTACGGGCACCACCGAGACATGGCGACGGCTATTACATAGGCTCCTAGTCATTGCTGGAAACTTTTAACAAGCGCATTCACGAGAATGGGAAGTTTCGAGAAGGATCTAGAAAGACATTAGCTAGCAGTTGCGTACTCAGGAACGAAAGATATACACTTTTTAATCTACCACCAGCTACCAGGTATGATACAGCGGGGCTGCTGCAGCTTTGCGCTTGAAGAAGCGTCTTTAGGTCACCGACCTGTCGTTCTTTACAAAAACCAAGTACTAGTGCAGCGGATCGCAATCCGCTGCCTCTTAGACTACTTAAAAGCCTTAACCAAGGCAAACGAACACTTCTGTTCAAAATCGAAACTGAATTTTACTTTGTCCTAATGTTGAAAGTTTAGATTTTCTTAAATCTACCATATATATATAGTAAAATCCAAATGCATCCATAACTACTGGCTGCCTAGCCCCGTCCCGTATTCTTGTTTGGATGTGTAGTCACATTATTGTAGGGTTTGAAGCAAATCGAATAATGAATTAGTGATTAACAAAAGAAAACTATCTCAATCGTAGTAAAAACACGCAGTGGACATGAATGTAAATTTGTAAAAACTGATTCTGGT